ATGGCCCACGAAAAAAAGTCCATTAAGAAAGAAAAAACCCATTATAAACGAAATATAGGGTAAAAAGTTTCGACCGAAAATTCATTTATGTTTCGAAGGCTTACATTTCCATCAAAAAGGATGTCAAGTCAAGATGTAGTCCCCATCATGGTTCACAACATGCGTCAAACATCCGGCAGTTTTTCGGTCCCTGAAACACAGAACTGTGGTAGCCGCAAGTCGAAAACGTTGGAGATCTCAATTTCGAGTTGCCAGTGCTAATCGAAGTCCGTATCCCGTAGATGATGCTTAAAGGAATCCTTCGCGGAAAATTCTTGCATTCTTTCTTGACATGAATGTGTCAGTTGTGATCACTGGAAACAGCACACAAAGTTTCACGCATGAAGATTCGGTTTCCGAAGAGAAACAAACGTACAAAAACTACACTATGGACAATCGAAGGTAATTCGGGCGGAGCCAAAGGCGAGGCATGGAAAGAAGTTGGCCTTTGGCCGGCTACGTATCAGGCGAAAGAATCGGGTTAAAGCGCGCGATTTCGGAGAGTAGAGACAAATCGATCGATAGAATAGGATGGAGTAGAAGTGTAAGATGTGAATGCAATAAAGCAGAAGGCCAGAAAGAGTTTCTAGTGAAGGCACTCCAAGAACCAAGTGGAAGCATCCCCGTCGCCAGCATTTGTGAAAGACGTCCGTGGGCACTTTGAACGCGTAGCAGCCCTTTTTTTTCGAAACAAAAGCAATATTTCTGTTCTTTTCACTCTTATCGTGGATAATGAGTCTCAGTGATTTATGGTTGAAACCAGTTTAGCTCCGCCCGCTACCGCGCGCATGACACGGAAGCCTGATAGAACTGACAATCGGTGAAGCTTTGGGTTTCACCGCTTAACTATAGCTGCTTCGTTAAATGCATTACTGTCCGTTGCCCATCTTGGCTGTATCTCACTGTTTGATAAGCGCAGTGAAGTGCACAGCTAAAGTGATGTATGTAAACAACCACCATGCATCGAGAATCGAGGAAATTTAGCGGTCGAATAATTTTTGGTAATCTCAAGAACGGAATGCCCAGTATTCACTATCATATTTAAACAGTATAATCTCTCTGGTGCGCCCCCTTGCCGGACCTTTTGCGGAGCAGCAGAAAACTAACGCGGAAAAACGGGGGGGGGGTTATGAAGGCACTGCGCTGAGAGCAGAGGGAAAACGCGAGAGAGCACGTGGTACGCAATAGGGCGCAGACGCCACGTACTGCGGTTTCTAGTCGCGTGAGTAACGCCAACATCGTGAATAAGAGTCCCATTACCTCCTATAGGGAGCGTATTTATCCAAGTCTAAACGCTTTGAACTGCCCTCTTTGTTAGATTTCAACAGTTTGATAGAGGTTGCGGTGGCGAATGATTACAAATGCAAAATTGTATAGACTGCCCTTTTCTTTGTCCAGCTGCACAAGCATTTTCCCTTTCTGGTAGAGAATTATTAGATATAAAAGTAAATCCAAGGTTTTTTCCTCAATTTCACCAATTTTTTACGCTTAGCTTCGCTGCCATTTTTGTGTGGAGGGAGCACGATCAAGGGCGTTCTGAGGTTCTTCACAGTTATGCCCACAAAAGTACACTTTGCAACAGATTCTGAGCAATCCAAAATGCCTCACTTGTAGGTGTAAGTGCCATGAGATGCGAAGGAAAATAAGGCGACAGAGAGTTGCATATTGTGTGTGCTTGCAATTTAACAGGCGGATAGTGGCGCAGCGGTTATCATCGCGAACTCCCTCGGTACACACTCGGGATCGAATCCCGTCTGATCCAAATACTTTGCAATTTTGTGGCCTGACAATCTTCAGAGAAAATGACTCCAAAAAGCTGCGAGCGCATCAAGTAGACCGTTACGACGATATTCCAAAAGAGAGCCGGTAATCTGAAACAGTCATGACGCTCAAATGCGTTGAGGCTCTCAATGCGTCAGTGGTGAAGTGGTATCGTTGCGTTCTCGCACTGTGCAACGCGGGTTCGGGTCCCGTCTGATCCGTGTCGTTTGCAGTTCTGTAGCCTGAATCTTCCTGAAGAAATCTATCCTGTCCTCCCATAAAGCCTCTCAAGTAGAAAACTGAAGCCTCTTCGCAGGCGACACCCATAATAACAGCACTTGGAGGACGAGCAGAAGTGTTTCGATGGAGCAGTGGTATGAAGGACGCATCTGGTTTGCAAATGGGTGGTATCGCATCCGCTCAGCGGACCGTTTTGCTTATCAATCACAATCACTTACCACTCTAGGATCTCCTGCCTAAACATTTACCACTCCTTACCAGCTCTGAGTACGTTTCAGCTCTAAAAGGGGGCATTTAGATAGCCTGCATGACCATATTTGCGCAGGTATCGGTTGAGAGCACCGATGGGGTTCTTCAGCTGTTCCAGCCTCTCTAGTCCAGTGACCTTACCCTGTGAAGTTCTGGGCTAAATGATGCCAGATGTAGCACATGAGATTGGATTCGATGTGCATCAGAGGACTGCTCTTGTGGAAGTAGGGTTCCTAAGGGAGTCTCGTTAACTGGATATTGGTATTTCACACAGTGTCATTCCATTTTGAAAAAGGTCTTATCATTTGTCGCATCGGTTATCGATTGACATGGTGGTTTTTGTTCGATCGGTTCGATAGCAGGGAAGAATTTGTCGGGATTGTTATGTGTTCTGTATGGAAATTACGCTGTAGTGGTGAAATTCGCAACCGTGGCAAAAGTGCTGGCGTGCCTGGGGTCGATCCAACGACCGCACTGGTGAGTGCAGCCCTACATCGCACTCGACCATCCGACTTCACAACACCAGCGGTTCGAGGGGCAAGATGAACCAATCCGCCTTGTGATCACCATGTCTCGGACTTTTCCTACTCAGCGTCCTGCAATAACCAATTCTCGTCCAATGTTAAGCCATGTTTAAAAAATTCTTGCTTTACTCAAATGAGGGGTCGAGCGAGGGAACCCAGGGGTGAGCCGGAGACCGACCACGGGTCCCGCTAGTGCCACTTAAAAAAATTGGAATTTTTGCCATAAGATGAAATTAAGGCTGGAGGAACCAATGGTTGTGCTGAGCCCACAACTGGTTTCAGGGCTTTTGACGACGGGTTTCATAACCGTCCTGCTAGGCATCCATACTCGAACCAGATTTCAGATCCATTTGGGTGCGAAACCCTGCCTCGCGGGACCCAACGGTCCCAATGGGAACCAATTTTGGTTCCCATTGGGCCCGGTGTCCCGCGAGTCAGGGTGTCGCACCCAAATGGCCCGCAAGATGTTACGTACTTGTGATGGCTTAGAATGTTGGGAACAACATACCTGTGCGCCAAAAATCTAGTTAAACTAGTAGCTAGATACTGCCCATCCTACGCAAATGGTGACTTCAACCTCTCATCCCTTTCTAACCATACGTGTTGGAATTGGGAGACGTAGGGATTTTTCAGTTGTCTAAGAGAGGGTGATATGCGTTGCATCGATGTTCCCGAAGATGGGAACAGAGGCGGGGACCCGTTCATTAGTTATCGACATTGGTCGAATATGAGATCATCGTCAGCGCTGAAGTGATGTGTGGCACTCGAATGAGTTTATCAGCATATTCGGTACCAGTTTATCGAGAGGATTGATGGGATAGCCTCAGTAGAGTTAGGACACTATGGAAGATATGCAGGATGGCTGTGGTAGGCCCGGGTGCTAGAGTGATCTTCCATTCAATCGAAGCCACCACTGACTGCTTACCAAAAATCGTTGATGGCTTTGCAGCACTGAATCGATGCCGACTTAGAAAGAGATTTTCGTACCAATGTTGGCCGATTCGATGTCAGAAGTGACATCACTGGAGTGATGAACTCGATGCACCACGAACTCCAAAGTGATTAAATAGGGAATGTCTACGATAATCGAAATCACTGTCAGTGCCGCTCGGGCCTACGATGGCTCCTTTGACGGAATGTGGGCACCATGTACAACGGCCGCCGTAAATGTGCTCCAAGGCACCTCAACTCTACCTAAGAGAGATTCCAGCCATGCTATCGACTAACAAATTGGTCCGGGTGATGATGCATCGTCCGTTCTGCTCCAGACATTGGGAGTACGGTCTGATTATTGACCAACATCGATCACTGATGGACGAGAGCCCCGCATCTGTTTTTTCTTTCGACAATTCTGATGCACCCTATGTTACTCAGATACGTGAAAAAGAAGATGCAGTTAATGCTTTTCGTTGGAGCACACTACCACCCCCTTCTAGCCAGATAGAGCGCTACCTGGCCAAAAGTGGATGGTACGGCAGAATAGCCGTTTAAAATTGTGATGTGTACCATTTGTCAAGTTTCTTGACGCTCTATATTTAGGTATGTTACTTACAACATTTTTGGCCAGCATGAAGTACGTAACACCTTGCGGGCCATTTGGGTGCGACACCCTGACTCGCGGGACCCATCGGACCCAATGGGAACCAATTTTGGTTCCCATTGGGT